CGTGGTGGGCAGAGCACACATAGCCATTATGTAGCTTTACGCGAATATCCGAAACAATCAAATCAATCATTTAAGTCTGTAGAGCCAACATGCGCTCGTTAATAGTTTATCATCGAATCCGTTGCCTTCGTGGAAAGTTTGATGTTGATAAGGTACTTATAAGTCTGATATATAACAATACGTTTTCTGGACACCAGTTTCAAAAAATGATGTCAATTGACTGTACCTCTAATAACTATTCAATATAGAAGTAAAATGAAATCCTGAGTCACGTTCTTTTTTTAAATTCACGATAAAAATAACAGAGCTATTATCACATTTGGCTAGCTATTGTGTCCGCAGGGGGGAATCAAACCCAGGATTTTAGCGTTGCAAGTCCGTAAAATTACCGCCGACTTGTAATAATTTGTTGAAGTTTGCGAGCGCTATGACGTTTCACTTTAAAATATTTACTGAGTAATTCAATTTCCATAATTGTAGAATAACAATTTAAAATTCCTAATAAAAGTGTTAACAAAATGAATATCGATTTTAAGTTTATAATCTTTCAATACTATACTATACTATTGTTGTCAGCACACAACAACTTACTACTATACTATTGTTGTCAGCACACAACAACTTACTACTATACTATTGGTGTCAGCACACAACACTTTACTACTATACTATTGTTGTCAGCACACAACAACTTACTACTATACTATTGTTGTCAGCACACAACACCTTACTACTATACTATTGTTGTCAGCACACAACAACTTACTACTATACTATTGTTGTCAGCACACAACAACTTACTGCTACAATATTGTTGTCAGCACACAACAACTTACTGCTACAATATTGTTGTCAGCACACAACAACTTACTGCTACAATATTGTTGTCAGCACACAACAACTCACTACTATACTATTGTTGTCAGCACACAACACTTTACTACTATACTATTGTTGTCAGCACACAACAACTTACTACTATACTATTGTTGTCAGCACACAACACCTTACTACTATACTATTGTTGTCAGCACACAACAACTTACTACTACAATATTGTTGTCAGCACACAACAACTTAC